GCAAACACAGCCTGGAACAGAGGTATTAGCAAGAGTACCTATAGAAACAAACGTTGGTGGGACACACGCGGGAAAGCTGAACAGTCCGACCAGTGTGATTAGCTATCCAATTAATTTGTTTGAAATATTTCCAGGCTTCAACCAGTGCTAGTGTAGCAGCAAGAGGGGTCAGGGAGCCGTGGCAGAGCCAGTTAGCTCAGAAGCAGCAGGTGAGATTGACAGAAAACACAGAGAGATATAGAAGCAGGTCAGGTGGTCAGAAAACCAGATTTCTGAGGCATCATTTCTATTCTTCTGTGCCTCATTTCTGTAATTGTGAAGCAAGCAGCAAGCATAGACACACTGGATTTGATCCAGAGTGGTTGAATATGCCTCCATTTTAAGGCCCCGGCCACACGAGGATGATAACGGTCGTTTCCGTTACCGTTCTGTGTCATATAGACCATTCGGCCACACTAGGACGACAGAATATGGTGGGAAGGTGGATAGAACGGCATACGCAACGCTCTGGGGGGTCCAACGCTCCGTGTGTACGCCCTATACCAGGCATCCTCAAACTACGGACTCCGGTCCGGATCCGGTCCGGATCCGGTCCGGATCCGGTCCGGATCCGGACCGAACCACCACTGTCTCCGGACTCTGAGCAAATTATACTTTTCATATGTATTATCTCTCTGTATTATATGTGAGACATCGCCACAACGCATTCGCAACGAGTCAAAATTATCCGCTATGTCCACTGCAAACAGCGCTCTGCATGTCTGACTGTTCCACTGTGTTCCACCTGTGTGTGTCAACGCTTTGGTCCAATCACATTCAGCATCCAGTCAGCGTTTTTTTCCCCCAAACAATCTGCGAATCAGAGGCACAGTAGGGCGGGTCTTCGCGGAATGCGGGTGGGAAAAATGTGTGTGTCTCTTTCAACCTGTCTAAGTCAGAGCGAGAATTTAAAATAAATAAATTCAGAGCGAGAGTTAACAGCTCATCTAGTTCCATCTGTACTGTAGCTAGTAGCCTAGTTTCACCTACCGGGGTGGCAACTGACACCCCAGCTGCCACCCCAGTTGGCAGCTTTGTTTTGAAAGAAAAGTTGTGGCTCATCGGACATTTATGAGAGAAAGTCTCTAATGTCCGAGTGCAAGTGAATGCAGCACAAGATGCACGTCATGTAACCCCTCCCCCGGTCCTGGGCGCGAGCGTGTACATACGATTGGCGGCGATTTCATTTTGAACTGGACGGCGCAAAAACGAGGAAGCATTCGGAACCCAAGCACTGAAGCAATGAGGTATTGCGGTCTACACTGACAGAGAAGAGACTGTCAGTTTGACTGTACTCAGCATTGAATCAAAACGCACTAAAGCTTTGATCTTAATACGTTTGTGAGGCGTTTCGCTGAACAAGATGGTAATCGCCGCATTCAGCTGTAATAGACATGTCAACTTGATGCTCTGCTCACGGATGAGCATACACAACTATTAAGATGATGACCTTACGTGTGTAAATATATCTTTTTCTTTGAGGGGGGTCTGCCCCCAAAAAACTGTTTAAAGTCCTGAGAAAGTCAAATAAGACGTGGTGTAAAACTACACTGCCCAGCCAAAAAAAAGTAACCACTTTGATTGAACTAGGCCAGTAGGTAAGGACTTTTCCACTGGATAATAACTGCAGTATAAAAGAAATGCATGACTGAAGTTGATTGGAGACCATGTTGAAGGCAAAACAAAAAGAGGAAATAACAGGTCAAATCAAGCAAAATCCCCTCTCCAGATCCACAGCAACCAGAAGAACATAAATACTTGGCTGGTGATTTGATTCATCAGCTTTGTGATGGAATAAAAAATGCACAGTGCATTTCCTTAGCTGTGGGTGAGTCCACTGACACCACTGACAATGCTCAGTGCTGGTGTTTGTGAGTTTTTATGATGAGGCAAAGGGGGAGTTTGTTGAGATGTGTTGGGGCCTGAAGAACCTCAGTGGGACCACACAAGGGGGAATACATTTATAAAGCAATAATGGGAATGCTGAATGAAAGAGGGTGCAAGCTGCCTTTATTCATAACTGTGCAGCTTCTTACACTGCGACTCGGAGGGGTCAAGCACAGACCACCATAACAATGAAAACTGCCTGCATACAGATTATTTTTGTTTTTGCAACCCTCGTTGTTTTAAGAATCTTGTTGTAATAGTTTAAAAGTTTGAATGAACCGTGATAAACGGACCCTTTGTCTTATTGAAACATTTATTTGGACCTTTAAGATTTTGTATTTTGAGTTACCCCTGGCCCTATACGATCATTTTCTGAATAATGATGAGGCAATAGCCCCGCCTCTCCCCACCTCTGCTGCTCACCCCCGCGTCAAAGTAAACTGCCACACTGAATTCAGTATTATTTAATCTATTCTCTCGATATGGACATAAACGCGACTGAAGTTCTAAATCTGACAGGGACACGGAGGACACGCTAGCTCTGCGTCACCTGCAGCCTTTCTCCTGCACCTCCCGCTGTGTGATTGCAGCTGGGGTTGTAACGGAGTAAAGTCAAAACCAACACAACTTTCAGTCAGATCATCACCCTTACACTATCTTTGAATTACCTCTCAACTACCTAAACTAGTTATAAATATGTGTATTTTTACTTGTCGGCCGGGGTCACTCATTTTACTGGAGCAAGCTGCTGCGATTAAACAGGACACTGACGGCTGTTCCGAAAGACGAGGGAGGAAAAAAGAGAGGGCTCCGTGTATTTTATTATTATATTATATAGATTCGTTATTCATTTGTTTTTAAAGCTCAATAAATAACAAAGAAGACCTTTGACCGGCACTTTTATAATTTGTCCGGGAAGATTTAAACTTTAATACACGTTGACTGGCGAAAAACTCTGCCCGGTTCCCTCGGCCCCCCACCACGGAGAATAAACAGAAGGGCAACCATGACAACCATGCTTCTTTCGCTGCTTTTGTGGAGGAAGTTACAAAGCGGCTTACGTACAGGCTCCTGCATATGTACTGCAGCTTCTTCTCAGTGGTTGGAGCTAAACGGAGCGGTCCTCGTGTGGACAGACACTATCCGGATGACTATTGCGTGGTGGACGGAAGCTTTTTGCGATTGCGTTTTGCATATGCGTTTTACCCTTATCGTCCTCGTGTGGCCGGGGCCTAAGCCATGGCTATACCACACACAGCATGGTCAATTTGATGAATGGGCTGAGCTCTACCCCTGCCTGAGCCTCCTTGCGGGCATAGGACTAGTTTATCCCTGTTTCTAGTGTCAACTGGTGAACGCGATTTCTCTCGGCGGTGAACAGAAAAAGCATCACTTTGAAAAGCACAACAAATTATTATGCATTTCCTTTATTAGTTCAGTTTGTGGTATTCCATTTTGCTTCATCCTCAGGTGAAAACAGACCTCCGAAACCAGCTCCAAGGAGAACACCTGGCTGCTTGCTTGAAGATCTCCATAAATGGACCCTGTCCTGAGGCCTTCCCTTAAGATAGGGCATTAGAATATTTGTTCAGGAAGCCCCGTAAAATCGGATGTCAAGACAAAGGGTGCAAACTTTGCACATTGTCTGAACATCTGAAGCATTGTGTAGCCGAGCCAAATTTTATTTTGTTTGTTTGTTAGACATCCTAGTCGTGGTGTTCCAGGCGGGATTTGAACTCGGCACTTAGCCCTCAGTTACAGGAGAATGTAATTAAATGTAAATGTATGTAATCTAATGTAAATCACTTTGGAATAAGGCGTCTGCTAATTATATTTTTGGGAGAATAAACCCCACAGATCCTCAACTCCGGTGTGGCTCACTCATTTACAACACGGGAGGGGTGCCCGCCGGGGGGTGCCCCCACAAATAAAATAAAATTCTGTGGGAAACACTGCCACGTGATGACACGTTAGGCTCGTGTTGTGTTCAAGGACCCTGACCTTGGCCGAGGAAAAACAGGCCTCGCTTGTTTAATTATTTTGCGGTCTAGATTTCTTAAATTGTTTTCTTTTTTGCGTGTGTTTATAAATTACCTCGCGGGCCGTACCAAATGGTCTCGCGGTCCGTATACGGCCCGGGGGCCGGAGGTTCCCACCCCTGATCTAAAACAACAGCAATAACACTCCTAACTAATACTCTAATCAAACTCAACAACTCTACGTGTTCTCTCCTTTTTTCAACAATCAAAGTTAACAGAGACTTTATCAGGTATTTTGAGCCTCCCGTGACTGCCCTCCATCTATTGTTTGGTTGACAATGTTCCCATCAGTGAACTTCATATTTGCATTAGCCAAGCCTTAAACTTAATGAGATGGCATATTGAACAGAACATCACAGAACAAGAAAGGACTGAGTGATGACATCCTTCCTTGCACCAGCAAATCAATTTAGCAATAACACAAATCTTGTGTTTTATTCCAATATCTGGCATTTTTCTGCATACGTGAAATTGTTTAAAACACATTTGGTTTTCAAAAATATCCACTCTATTGACAAATGGTTCATGCTTATGCTTATGTTCTGCTACTTTATATCATATTTGTAATGAAAAAAGCAATATAAAATCTGGATCAAAATATGACATTTGGAGCAATGAGGAGAATATTTGTCTCTTCAGGCTTTATTGAAGTCTCATGCCTGATGTGAGTCATCATTTACTCACTAAATATTTTTTCCATTGCACTTTGCCTAATCAAATTCATACATTTTTAAAGCCAAGCCTGCAGACTTTTTCTTCCATATTCCAAGATTTTATTTAACAAATCCACCTTTTCACTCGATTGCAAAAGAGCTTTAAAAAAGTGTGATCGGAAGGAACCACATAGTTTCTCTGATTGATCAGTTAATATGACATTTAGGGACCACCATGTAAAAAAGCACAACAGCCGTGACTTCAAATGTGATGGGTACTATTATTTTTAGCTTACATGTATTCTGTATTCTGCATTTTGTATATTTTGTATGTTTCGTAAGTAATTGCTGTTGTCTAATTTTTGATGTGATGGGTACTCACCCCCGTTCACTTCCTGAGAGGCGATGACAAATCCGAATCCTTCTCCCGACCTCCTCCTCAGCTCCACCTCCAACGTCTTTACTCCTCCTCTTCCATCCTTTGCTATCGCTCCCATCGCTCCTCCCCCTCTGCTGGGGGGAGGCCCGCCGGCGCTCTCCTCTACGCCCAGTAAGTCCCGCGGCTCTAAGGTTAGCGTCACAGGAACTGAGTCCAGGAAGCTGGTGCTCTGGATGAGGGCCGAGGCTGGGGGCCCGTTAGGCGTCTGCGCAGGAGGGGCCCCTGGGAAACATAAAGTGGAGTCAGATTTATAGAGAAAGGAGGAGGAGACAGAAGGAAGTCGTTCAAGGGGGAACAGGGGCGGATCTACGGGGGGGGAAAGGGGGGCAAGCTTCCCCCCCCTACGGTAGAGCCTTGCCCCCCAGCTGCCCCCACTAACTTTTGTTTCTCCTAAAACTGTACTAAAACAAACCTACACCTATTTCCACACAGCTTCTCAAAGCACAAAACAAGCATTACATTAGTTTAAAAGTGAATCATTTAAATATCATTTTAGGCCCGTTAAAAACGCAGCTACGGCCCTGCATTAAACTGCGGAGCGGCGTTCACACAGCCCGCGGCTCACACCGCTGCAGAGAGGGAGCGAGCTGTCCCAGCACCCTATGGATCAGCTTCCACTTGGAGCATATTCCCTTTCCACTAGTTTAGTTTTTTACTAAGGAGCTTGAAACCTAAATATTAATAAAACGCTTTAGTTTGAATCGATAGCGTTAACAGACGGGCGTCACGGGCGTTACGTTACAAAATACTACGCAGACAGCGTTAGCTGGGAGATCGATCACTTTGCTAAACTACGCGGTAGCCTACTATTAAATCCACGTAAACTACACATCACAGCCATGAGGCCAGATCAATGAAACCAGGATACATCCTTTACCGTAAAAACTGGATCCAAACACAGCTGCCTGTGTGCGCTTGATCAATACTTTCTGATGTTATATTTATGATATGCTACATATTAGCTAGGCTACATGGCCCTAACGCGTAAAGTTATACAAGCATTTGTACCAGTGCTTTTCACAAGTAGACTCTTGCAGGCCAGAGTATAGGAGTGATTCAACAACAACAAAAATACATATGAGAAGTGATCAGGACGAACAGAAAGAGGAAAAGAGAGATGAAGAGACCAGGAGGGTCAGAGCAGGAGGAAGAGGAGGAGATGAAGAGACCAGGAGGGTCAGAGCAGGAGGAAGAGGAGGAGATGAAGACATTAGTGAAGAAGAAGAAATATATGTGAGGAATAAAGATGAAGTATCAGAAAGAGGGCCAGAGGCAGGGGATCAGGAGTGCAGAGGAGACTCCAGCTGGACCACATGGTATGTTCTTATTCTCCTTACATATTCCATTACAGCAGCACAATCTAGCAGCTCTTAGTATTGACAAATATTGATTGAAATGTGTTGCTGCACAGGTCACCTGTAGCTCTCTGAAGAGATGGGTGATGTCATTTGTGTACTTAATTATAATTAAGTACTTACAGTATGCAGAATTCTGAGTATTCTCTGAATCGGGTGCCTTTTGGGTCTTATATCTTTGAAAAAATGAAACCAAAATGTTTGGTCATAACATCTGGTAGTGGACTACTTACATTTTCCCACCTCAGGCACAAAATATAAATAATTACTAGAATTTCCTTGAAAAAATGTAACATGGTTGAAGTTTTTGACAAAAAGTAGGCATGAGACCTTGTTTAGCTAAGATATGGCACCACATGGAAGTCAAGGACATTACAAAATTGTAATATTTTCCAAAACTATTGTTTATTTTTGTAATAAACAATTATTTACTATTATTAATTCATACAACATAGTTGAAATGTTGAGCTTGTCAATCTTAATCTGAAAATACAAAAACTGAAATATAGGTAAGAGAAGAAACTGACACTTTTGTGATGTAATTCCCTCAATGCAGATCACACATGGACTGATCCATTATTTTAATAGGAGGGTATGGTATGGCGTGACGGGGTTGAAACAAACTGAGGGACAATATTGCAATTTCATAGATAATTCAAGTATTTATTCAGAATTGATTTTTGATCAGTTAAAGTTGACAAGCATGTGATTATATTAGCAGCAACATTTTGGGATAATTGGCCATTTTGATTTGTTTAATATTAAATTAATATGTAATAATGCTTAGTGAGGACATGCAAATATGTCTGTCTAAGACAACCAATTTTTGTGTCTGTCTAAAACAAAATATATATTTAGTTTGACATTGTAATGCAAAACAACCTGTTCCATTAATTCATTGCTTTAAAATACATTTTGTAGTTTCCTTTCATTTAAAATGGTTGAGGTAAGCTTGGGGGACTCAAAGGGCACCCGATTGTTTGTCTGAACACCTTGTTTCTCTTGTGCATTAAGAACACTTGTGTTAGGGCATGAATTAACAATAAATAGGAGTATTCAAATACCACGTACTGTCCGCCATCCTATGCCACCCTGGCATGACCTCTTGCCCCACCATGTAAAATGTTCTAGAACCGCCACTGAGGGGGAAATACAGACTGTTGGGAACTTGTGCAATACACCTGCATTGTGCAATACATACACTTTTATTGGCAATTCTCCTTTTTTTACTTCCTGCTTCTTCACACACATGCTCTCCAGTACAGGTTAGCTCTGAGTATTAGCGATGCTAATGTAAACATCGACCATATTACATCCAAAACAGTCGGGCATTGTTTCTGATAGCAACTTTCTGATAGGGCCGTGGGTCCACATTTCAGATATTACGTCATATCGGCAGCAAATCTGGATCAGCTCCGTTGTTCCCACGTTTTTAGAGATTTGGGTACGGAGGAAAAGAGAGAGGGTTTTATTTTCGGACACTTTGTGAGTTCCCTGACACACCGGGGACACAGGTCCCCTTTAATATGTTCACTTAGCTATTTAAATGTTGTTAGCACTTATTTGTCTATTTTGTATTACTAATGTGTCCTTTTTCTCTATATTTTCCATGTTCGCTTTATTATTGCTTGCCTTTTATCTGCTTTGTCACTTTTGCTTTAACGCTGTAAGTGTCCCCGCTGCGGGACGAATACAGGTATTCTGATTCTGTTTCTAGGTAGTTACCTTGGTGGGTCCCTATGGCTGCTAGGTGCCCCTCCTGAGGACCCTCCAGGGCCAAGCCAGCCTGGCTGAGTGGGGGGACGCCCCCCAGCAAGGCACCCGTGGATGTGGAAGGCAAGTCGGCTGAAGTTGGGGGGAAGGAGGAGGAAGGAGTGGCCAGGCTGTGTGGGGAGGGGAGGGTCTTGTAGATATTTGGGGTGACGGCTGGGGAAGACATCGGACCTGTGAGAGAGAGAGAGAGAAAGTTATTAAAGAGGAGATATGTACCTAATTTTCTGGAGGGACATTTAGTATTCTAGCATTTCCATGAACTAAAACCTATTAAAACACTACAGGAAAGGGAAAGGGAACACCCCAACAAGTGGCAATATAAATGGGCAAAAGTAAAAAATAGTAGACTTACATATTATATAAATAAAGAGGCAAGCACTCAAATAAAAACAAATGATTACACCATGGTAAAACAATAAGTTGAAGTAAGTAAGACAAGTAAGTGAACATACAAAAGTATTGAAGGAGCCAGTAACATCAACAAAGTGTAAATAAGTTGTAAAAATAAAGTGTAAATTGCACAATGGTAGGTTTGAAGTAAGGGGATTTACATTTAAAATAAAATGAGATGTTAAAATAATCTTAAAAATAAGCTCCTGTTCAAGAGATTGCTTATTAACAACAACAACAACAACAACAACAACCAATGAATACAAAACAATAGAATAAAACATATTTAGTGTATATAAGAAGTAATGCCAACACTATGCCTATCAGAATAACAATACAAGTAAACTAATATTGGAAATAATGGTTAATGGACAATCTATTCATACAGCGGCTGCAAAACAAGGTGCCACCTGCACAGGAAACTAATAATAATAATAATAATAGCACGCACACACGCACACGCACGCACGCACACACACACACACACACACACACACACTGTGGACTTTTTCCAGGCCTCCTCACTCCTCACAACTTCCTCAAAATCCCAGCACGACATACAATAGTTTTAAAATGATTTAAAAGTATGCGTAGTTTGCAAAGAGCAACACGGATTAACGCTTTAAATGCTGCTGCTGCAAGGAATCTTTTCTTTGGTGCAGTGTTTCCTTCACTAAAGGAGACAATAAAGGAAGCATTAAAGCTCCTTTCCTTAGCATCTAGAGAATTACATTTAACACTCTGGGGTCATTTCACTCAGTAAGGAACCTCCCTAAGAGAAAAAGACGATTCAACTGCAGCCACACACACACACACACACACACACACACACACACACACACACACACACACCACACACACACACAACACACACACACACACACACACACACACACACACACACACACCACACACACACACACACACACACACACACACACACACCACACACACACACACACACACACACACAGCTGGCCATGCCTTTGAGATATGATATTGAAATGATATTGTGTTTAAGTTGTACCTCCTCTGTAGACCAGTAGCACCACCTCTCCCTGTTTGGTGTGTTCCTGCAGGGTTCTTTGGACCTGAGGAAGGAAATGCACCAATTGTTATGGTTTCAATGGGTTTAAATGGCATTTTCATAGTTTCCTCTATGCATCTTATCTTTGAACTTTCAGACTCAAACACTGGAGGCATGATCATGTGCCATTCATTGTGAAAGGAAAACAACATCCTGGTACCACCCAGTGCGATGCCAGTTCAACCCAGACGAGGGGACAATGCTTAATGCCATTGTCCTCTGACTAGCTGGAGAAACCCTGTCTTGGTTTCTGTGAAAAACAAAAGCTTAATAAGAGAACTAAAATACATAGTGTCAATGACTTCCTGGATCTTGAGCTTGAAGAAGAAAAAGGATGCTTTGAAAAACGTCACTTAGGAACTACTTTACTGCAACTATTACTGCTTTTTCTTTGCCACTCTAAGGTTGTGTAGTGTAATGCAGTTGTTTTTATAAATGTAGCACGCAACATACTTTATGCCATGCTAAATATCCTCATTGTTTACCTTTTGGCTTCACCTTTGAACCCTGTGTTTGAATTTCACAGCACAATGAATTGAGGGTTATTCTATCAGGCAGGGTCTGCAGATATGTGGACTTACCAAAAGTTCTCAGAAAATGTCTGCAAGAGAGCCCTCATACATTTTACACTGGAATTACGGTGCGTAAACACCGGACATGACGACCCAGGTATACAGTTAAATGACGGCAGAATATGTTTGCAACTCTGTTGTCGTTGTTGGTATCTACATAGAGATAAGCTCTGCCTGGTCGAGTTTGAGTGATGCGACTAAAACACAAATGATCCCCTCGGTGAAACTCGCTCGAATAACGCGGAGTGAATCTTGGTTTTGCTCTGGTGTGAATGCACCATTTGCAGAAACATGCCTCAGTGTTTGGTGGACATTGTAACTGGACCATAACTATTCCTGCGATCGGACCCAAACACATATATGGAGTGAGCTGGTAGCTGGAGAGGTGCCCTTAAGCAAGGCACCTAACCTTGAAACTGCTCCCTGGCGCCGGATAACTGGCAGCCTCTCTGCTCTGCCACCTCTTCTTTCTGCATGTTCATGTATATCCTCTGTGTTTGTGCATGTAAATCCTACCCTGTGTAATGTGTGTAAAACACAACAGAGTGTAGAAGGAAATGTCCCTGTGAGGGATTAATAAAGTATGTCTTCTTCTTCTTCTTCTTCAATGAGAGGGAAGCTTTCTGAGAATACCTTGACTCTGATTGTTTGCCTGTTGGTGTAATAATCTATTACATAACATGTCACTTGTTAGACGCTTTTATCCAAAGCGACTTACATACTCAATACTGTGGATAAAATCCCCACAGGAGCAATTTAGGGTGAAGTGTCTTGCCCAGGGACACAACAACATGCTGACTGCAGTGGGGTTTGAACCTGTGCTCCCCTGATCGGAACACCAACGCACCACCCACTGCGCCACACGCCCCATTACCTGAGAGAAGCTGAGGCTCTGCACATCTGCTCCGTTGATCTTCACTATAGTGTCGCCGGCCTGCAGCGAGGGGCAGTGCCTTCGATCCCAGACCCTCCTCACCACGGCGAACTGACCCCCCTGCCCCCCCGCCGTCACACTGAACCCGATCCCTCCGCTCTCGCTGCGCCCGAGGGCCACCGGGACGAGTTCTCCACCAGGAGCCGACCCGGGGGAAACGGCCCCGAGAGGGAGCGCCAACCCTGGGTTTCCTCTGGAGCTCGGAGAGGGGGTTTGGTGATTGGCCGGACAGCCGTTGAAGCCGCAGGATGGGACGTCTCTGGGTGGGGTGAGGGCGACGGAGGTCTGAGGCATTGCTGGGCGCTGAACCGGAGCTCCAGGAGGTGTGGAGGAGGAGGAGGAGGAGGAGGTGATGGGGGTGGTGGTGGTGGGGCTGGTGGAGTTTTGGAGCAGTAGACCCAACTCTGGCTGAGAGAGAGGGAGTTTGGACAGAGTGTGGGAGGAGGAGGAGGAGAGAGGGAGAGTGGAGGAGGAGATGGGGAGCGTTGACGTTGATAAGTCGCTCTCTGAAGACTTGGAGCTCTGATGGTGGAGGAGGGAGGAGGACGAGAGGGCGGGAAGAGTGCTGCTGCTGTAGCGAATCAGAGAAGACCTGCGACTGGAGGCAGAAAACAGATATTTCATATAAAGAAGTTATTAATTTTCATATATTTCATTTCATTTTTATTCGTTCCGTTCATGGTAGGCTATGCACAACTTAATGTATAACAATTATTTGCATTATATGTCTCCACAAACACACTTACTTAATTACTTATTATATTATAAGCCTATGTGCTCTCATAGCAATAATGCTTTCCTTGCTATTGCAAGTGCTTTTTTTAGCATGTCATACAATAGCAAACAACTTTGGCTAACGTTACCTACAGGTTCTAATAATGTATTAAAGAAACGTTTTAATCTGATGTTCAAAGAACCTTTTTAGGATATTTATTATTTCAAATAATGTTCCTATAAGGTTTATGGTGAACTAAGACATAACGTTTTTACTGCAACATTCAGAGGATGTTATTAAGGCCTGAGATGACAGAAAGTTTTTTTCTAAAACGTTCCTTTAATGCAGTGGTTCTCAAAGTGGGGGGCGCGCCACCCCTGGGGGGCGCAGAGGCATGCCAGGGGGGGCGCGAGAGACCAGGAGGAAAAATGGTTCTAAAAAAAAAAAAAGATGAAAAAAAAAAAAAATCATAATTTGAAAAATTATTGATTCGAAAATAATATGATGCAGTACAGTACTATTACGTTTGTTTTTCATTAAAGCTTGCCTCTGTGTGTGTGTGGAACGAGCCATTTTGTATGCGCGAGCGAGAGAGAGAGAGAGAGAGCGCACCGGTACCGGAGATCGTTGTTGTTAGCTTCTGGTGCTAGCGAGCTACGCTAACGGATATAAGGAGTTTTTTCAACAACAAAGTGGAGGAAAGTCCTCTCCTGTCAGACTGAGAGACTCAGTGAGCTAAAGGACTCTCTCAGTGTTATCTCAGTGGGTCTCAAACGTTTTGGTCACCATTAATGTAAACAATTATTTCCGAGGTACACATTGATATGATCATTATAGTTTTAAAAAAATAAGAGAATAAATGGAAAACAGCTATGAAATACTATATGACAGTAAAACAAGAATAAAGTTTAAAAGGGGAGTGATTTGTAAAATATCTATAAAGAAATAGAAAATCTGTTTCCAGTTCTGTTTCATATGGGTGTTGAGAGAGGTATCTAGATCTCTTCATTTTGCTCTCAAAGTGCACCAGATTGATGCTTTTAACTTCAAGATTGAAAAATATATCTTCCCGGGGGAGCTTGCCCCCGGACCCCCCTATGTTAGGTCCACACACCACCTATACAAATAGTACTTTACCCCTGCTTACACCTATATGCCGTGAGCTGATTATCGAGCCTTCATTGTAACAGTCGCGGGTACACTGTGTATTTGTGTGGGGAGTGTTGCAGTAGAAAATTAAACTGTAGCTACCGGTACATTAATGGGAAACCCTAAATGTTTGAGCACCCTCTATGAAACGTCAAGCTACCCCACAGCACCCCCAAAATAAATCTCTGGCGCCGCCACTGAGCCTGACTATTTGTGTTGGGGGGGCCCGACTTTTTTTTTTCTCCAAAGGGGGGGCCTGACAGAAAAAGTTTGAGAACCACTGCTTTAATGTGATATGTTAGCTAACACTACTATTGCTAACAGTACTATTGCTAACACTGCTATTGCTAACACTACTATTGCTAACACTACTATTGCTAACACTGCTATTGCTAACACTACTATTGCTAACACTGCTATTGCTAACACTACTATTGCTAACACTACTATTGCTGACACTGCTATTGCTAACACTACTATTGCTGACACTGCTATTGCTAACATTGCTATTGCTGACACTGCTATTGCTAACACTACTATTGCTGACACTACTATTGTTAACATTGCTATTGCTGACACTACTATTGCTAACACTACTATTGCTAACACTACTATTGCTAACACTGCTATTGCTAACACTACTATTGCTAACACTGCTATTGCTAACACTACTATTGCTAACACTACTATTGATGACACTGCTATTGCTAACACTACTATTGCTGACACTACTATTGTTAACATTGCTATTGCTGACACTACTATTGCTAACATTACTATTGCTAACACTAATATTGCTAACAGTACTATTGCTAACACTGCTATTGCTAACACTGCTATTGCTAACACTACTATTGCTAACACTGCTATTGCTAACACTACTATTGCTAACACTGCTATTGCTAACACTACTATTGCTAACACTACTATTGCTGACACTGCTATTGCTAACACTACTATTGCTGACACTGCTATTGCTAACATTGCTATTGCTGACACTGCTATTGCTAACACTACTATTGCTGACACTACTATTGTTAACATTGCTATTGCTGACACTACTATTGCTAACATTGCTATTGCTAACACTGCTATTGCTAACACTGCTATTGCTAACACTACTATTGCTAACACTGCTATTGCTAACACTACTATTGCTAACACTGCTATTGCTAACACTACTATTGCTAACACTGCTATTGCTAACACTACTATTGCTAACACTGCTATTGCTAACACTACTATTGCTAACACTGCTATTGCTAACACTGCTAATGCTAACAGTGCTAGTGCTCATACTGCTACCCTCCTGTCAGAATTAGAATACCTTTATTCGTCCCACAGAGGGGACATTTACATTTGTTACAGCTGTTAATGTGAACTAAGAAGCATGCTTAAAAAAAATATTAAAGATACAAAAATTACACAATTTACAAAATACACATCCTCACCTTCGTGTCCCAGCATTGGAAATCCCGCCATCAGAGTCGCTGTGATTGGAGGCCGGTATCCTGTCTGGGAGGGGGGGGGGACCCAGTGGGGGGTCCGAGAGAGTCGGGGTGGGGGGGCCTGTCAGACCGTTTGTCATTGGCTGAGCGTAGGAGGGCGGGGTGTGACCCAGTCCTGCATTGTAGAGCGAAAGAGTTGGTAAGACAGGTGAATTATTGATAATCACTAAAGTTAAAATACTGACAGATACTAAAAGGATATATAAAGGAGTTTAAATTGCACGTTTGCAATTCTCATTAGACATTAAAGACTAAAACGTAACAGGTGTGTAATCCTTAAACAGAAGAAAAAAGTTGTAAAGATAAAACCAGATTAATGCGATCTTAGGTAGATGATAGACTGGATATGACTTCGAAAACAAACTCAAATAAAGAGGCCAGTTTCGGTAGAGTACAAACGATTTCTTTGAATTTAGTTTTGTAATGGTTTAAGGTGTTAGAGATTTCCATCAAAATTGTAACCACATTTTGAGAGAATTGGCAGAGGAAGCAAATTAATGCTTGTTTTCAAACACTTTATGCAACTATTAGGAGTTGATAAGGAGAGATAATTAAAAAAAAGCCCAAGGGGGAACCTGTAACGGGGAAAACTGTCAAAAATTGATTTAAATATGACATTTATTTTTTGTTTGAATGCGTTAATGTAAGGAAGGTTCCATATCTGGAATATATATTTCAAGATTTCTTTAAATTATTTCCCCTTTTGTCTTCAGCTTTTCTAACTAGTGCATTACAACCTGAGTGTATGGCAAAAAAAGCATGTCATATTTCTGACCTGGCGCATTGCCATTGGCGTCCAGCGTTCGACTGTAAGTGAGGTGTGCCAGCCTCACATTGAGGGGGTTCGAAGGCTCGCTGGGGGTCTGCGGCTGTAAAATAGGGTTAAAAAAACAGACACACGGTTAGTAAATCAAACAGTGTTAAAGGTCCCCTATATACTGTTTTTCATCAATGTATTACAGGTCTCAGATACAGAACATGTCTCTGAAGTGTTTGGCTCCAAACACCAAACAGATCATTGCAGCATTACCCATAATCCTCTCTGTTTCAGCCCTGTTTCCAAAGTGCTGATTCTCTGTCTGTTACTTTAGATGAAAAAGAAGGAGCCCCTCCCCACGCCCCTCTGAGAGAGATTTGGTTACAAAGAACTCAATGGTGCTCTAGAGGAGATTCAGATGATAAGGTGGGGGGGGTTACCTTGGTTGCTGATTGGCTAATGGTTACTCAAGACAACACATCGTTATGACATCATAAAGTGGCCACAATCTGATCAGCTCATTTTCAGACAGGTTTTTATAGAAATGGATCAAAAAGAGAGAGAATCTTTGTTCCTGAAACTTTCAGAGTCTCTTTACACAGAGGGGATACATGTTGATGTAGAAGAGACATGAAGAAGAGGGGACACATGCTGATGTTGAAGAGACATGAAGAAGAGGGAACACATGTTGATGTAGAAGAGACATGAAGAAGAGGGGACACATGTTGATGTAGAAGAGACATGAAGAAGAGGAGACACATGTTGATGTAGAAGAGACATGAAGAAGAGGGGACACATGTTGATGTAGAAGAGACATGAAGAAGAGGGGACACATGTTGATGTAGAAGAGACATGAAGAAGAGGAGACACATGTTGATGTAGAAGAGACATGAAGAAGAGGGGACACGTGTTGATGTAGAAGAGACATGAAGAAGAGGGGACACATGTTGATGTTGAAGAGACATGAAGAAGAGGGAACACATGTTGATGTAGAAGAGACATGAAGAAAAGGGGACACATGTTGATGTAGAAGAGACATGAAGAAGAGGAGACACATGTTGATGTAGAAGAGACATGAATAAGAAGAGGGGACACATGTTGATGTAGAAGAGACATGAAGAAGAGGGGACACATGTTGATGTAGAAGAGACATGACGAAGAGGGGACACATGTTGATGTAGAAGAGACATGAAGAAGAGGGGACACATGTTGATGTAGAAGAGACATGAAGAAGAGAGGACACATGTTGATGTAGAAGAGACATGAAGAAGAGGAGACACATGTTGATGTAGAAGAGACATGAAGAAGAGGGGACACATGTTGATGTAGAAGAGACATGAAGAAGAGGGGGACACATGTTGATGTAGAAGAGACATGACGAAGAGGGGACAACATGTTGATGTAGAAGAGACATGAAGAAGAGGGGGACACATGTTGATGTAGAAGAGACATGAAGAAGACGGGACACATGTTGATGTAGAAGAGACATGAAGAAGAGGGGACACATGTTGATGTAGAAGAGACATGAAGAAGAGGGGACACATGTTGATGTAGAAGAGACGTGAAGAAGAGGGGACACATGTTGATGTAGAAGAGACATGAAGAAGAGGGACACATGTTGATGTAGAAGAGACATGAAGAAGAGGGGACACATGGTGATGTAGAAGAGACATGAAGAAGAGGAGACACATGTTGATGTAGAAGAGACATGAAGAAGAGGGGACACATGTTGATGTTAGAAGAGACATGAAGAAGCGGGGACACATGTTGATGTAGAAGAGACATGAGAAGAGGGGACACATGTTGATGTAGAAGAGACATGAAGAAGAGGGGACACATGTTGATGTAGAAGAGACATGGAGAAGAGGGGACACATGTTGATGTAGAAGAGACATGGAGAAGAGGGGACACATGTTGATGTAGAAGAGACATGAAGAAGAGGGGACACATGTTGATGTAGAAGAGACATGAAGATGGGACACATCTTGATGTAGAAAGACATGAAGAAGAGGGACACATTTGATGTAGAAGAGGACATGGAGAAGAGGGACACATGTTGATGTAGAACATGAGAAGAGGGACAC